GAGAGGAGAGAGGAGAGAGGAGAGGAGAGGAGAGGAGAGGAGAGGAGAAGAGAGGAGAGAAGGAGCCGGGAGGGAGGGGGAGGAGGAGGAGGGGGAGGAAGAGTGAAGAGAGAGGAAAGAGAGGAGAGGAGAGTAGACGACAGGAGAGAGGAAGGGGGAGAGAGAGGAGAGGAGAGCAGACGAGAGCAGAGAGGAGGGGGGGTCCCGAGGGAAGGGAGGTGCATGCAACCGCGTGAGGAAAGGGCAAGACGGAGACGACAAACTCATCCAATCGAACAGCAGACTGCAAAGTTCGAAGCAGCCAAGGCACTTCAATCGATCACGGAGATTCTCCTGAGCTTTGGACCGAAATTCAAGGGTTCAGGTTTACGGTTGGAAAACTCTTGGGATTAAGGGCTTATTCTCAGCTGACTGCATGCAAGCAGACACATACACAAGCTGGAAAGCAAAAGTCCTGAGCTATACAATCGAGGACCAAGCAAAAAGCCTAGCAGATAGGAAAGCCCACGGCTTTTTTCCTGCAGCGGGCATGAACGTGCTAGTGGTCCTCATCTGATGCACTGCTGCTATCGCAATAGCACGAGCTTCCGAGGACCAACGTCGTAGCATCGGATGCACTGCGCCGGAGGGAGCGAGATCGTTGACGGCTGGACTGCACCTTGTCCTTATTCAGAATCTCGAGAGCCCTGCGCCTCTCAATTTGCTGCTCGGTCTCAGTGCACTGAGTGTCCTCGTCCTCGATGATCTCGGACTTGACCTTTAAAGGAAGCTGGCCTTTGTCACCCCGAAGCTTGTCCGAGGACTCCTGCCCCCCTTCATGACCCCGAAGCTTGTCCGAGGACTGCTGCCGACCATCATCGGAGGATGCCGCCGCTGCTGCCGCTGCTGGCTTCTGCGGCTTGTACTTGGAGCTGGGCTTCATGGCAGCAACGAGAACGGGGGAGCGACGTGCAGGGCACAGCTTGAAATTCTTGATATCGAACGGTAACGGGCATGCCGTGCTGCAAACTTGATGCAAGTTATCCAGACAACTACAATAGTGAAGGCCGAGGTTCCCATTGGCCCTTCAGAGTCACATCTTTGGACCGGAGGAGGTAGAGCACGCACTCCGAAAGTCCAGCCTGGGATGACTCATCAGATGTGGTGCCTGCAATGGCAGCCTTGTCTAGTTTTGAGCCTTGGGGCGTCGAAGCTCACCGGGCAGCTCCAGGAATCAGCAGACAGCCGTTCGGAAAATAATTCATAATCCGATTGGCCAAGGTTCACGGAGGCCTCACAACGAGGACCTGGCAGTTGATCCTTGGCACAGTAAGAGGTTTTGGATTGTCGCAACTAGAAGCAACATGTAACTCTCTTTGCGGCTTCGAAGCAGCATGATTCATTCTGTAGTATGCAGTGAGGGCTCTCGCGAACTTCTCCGTATAGTGCCTAAGCTGGCATGACAGAGACAATTCAGAAACTATTTTGCATGACATCGTCAATCTGGTGGCACGACAATCCGATCATACAGCCTAGACACTGCGACTCTTTGAGCAGCTTGGGCAAACCCGAGAACTTCTTCTTCACGGGTCGCCCATGTGCACTTCTACTCTGCGAGTGCACTGCAAGCTTTATCGTCTTGAGCTTTGATCTCTCCTCCATACTCAAATATCCTGCTTTGGCCACCAAGGCTTCAACCAAGCCTTGCCAATTAGACAGCAGCATATGCCTCTTCAGGGAAGGGCCGTCGAATCGAATCATGTAGAAGGAGCCCTTGAAGACCTCGTCCAGGTTTAGGGTTTAGGGGTCCAGGCTTTAGGGTTTAGGGGTTTAGGCTTTAGGTGAGATTGTGGGGTTGTTTATATAGGCCTTAGAAAATTAGTATCGGGTATTGCAATGCGACTATTCAAGCCTAGCAGCAGGGATCCTTTCGAGCAGCCACTGAAATACAGGGTGGTCCGTAAGACATGACTGCGAGGGCTGTTCCAAAACCCATCGGGAATTACGAGCACAAACAACCAGGATAATCATCGCGACTCGGGCCAGTAAAACGTTTCCGACTTGAACGAAGCCGTAGCCCTCGTTGCCCTTCGGTGTGACAATGTTTCTCCCGGAAGTGCTTCTCGACCTTATAGAGAAAGGTAGACAATAGCATAAGAGTAGAGATTGGCAGCAAGCATAAAAACCCTAAATGAATGCACGCTAGTCACATCACTGAAAAAGATGAGCATGGGAGGCCAATCACAGAGAGGCTTGTGCCCATCTTGAGACGACGGGCCTCATTCAAGGCCATCCTTGTAGAGTCAGAGCAAAGGCCCAGGCACCCAAGCACACATGCAGATTAGATTCCACAGCTTGCAAGCTAGTCACAGGAAGCCGGATGTAGTCATCAAATCATGGCCCAGGGGATCCTCCTCGATATCCAGGGATGTTCCAAGCAGACCCAAATCCTTGGGGCAGATATGGTTGTTTTGTTTCCAAAAGACTCCTCCCTAATTCACAATCCCAGGTTCATTGCGGAGACTGGCACCGACAGAATCGCAGCCGGAGAAAATGTGCAAGAAGTCAAGCTCCTGCGCGGGCGGATCGTAGGGTTTAGGGTTTAGGTTTAGGGTTTAGGGTTTGGGGGTTTGGGGGTTTGGGGTTTAGGGTTTAGCTTAGAAGCAGTCCTCAGATTGTAGGGCCTTTTCGTGAAAGGCCAGGAGCACCACACACATAATCAGTTGCAGCGGGGCACCCCATCGCAACAACTCTGCTACGACCATAGCAACCGCTGGCCCCAGCTGGGATCTAAAGGGTAGCAGCCTGGAGCCTTGTGCACAGAATTGAAGGAGAGCTCCCCAAGACTTGAAACCAGACCTGAGCGGCTTAGATTAGTTATGGCAGACGGGAATCAATTTCATCCTTTGAAAGATGCCGGGCTCTTGCAGCTGGTCTCATGCAGTCGCAGACATCGAATTTCCGACCAGAATTTCAAGCTCGAGAAGCTTGCACATTGATTAAAGATGCACAGCCAAATAAGCTAAATGAAGCGTCGTCGCTTCAACTCGTTGATCGATAATCCCTCCAGCCAGGAGGCCCTTGATGAACTCTGATTCCATTTTTGACAAGCTTCCTTCCATGAGAAGCCCCGAGCCCGCTTCTTCGCAATGTACCTCAAACGAGCATCCTTGTAGGATCCAGGCACATATGCACAATCCTCCGTCATCGTCCTCTTCATGCGCACCATCGCCTCGGTTTCCTCACCGTTTTCATCTTTCGAACTTGTTTTCTTCTTCTTCTTCTCATCTGTAACCTGAACTTTGTTCTCCTTCTCGTCCTGCTGGGCCTGAGCCTTTGAGGCTTTGGAACTCTTGGAGGAGGGGGCCTTCTTCTTTTTCTTGCTAACCTGTTGAAGCTCGTCACCGGGTCTGTTTGCAGCTTCGGCCTCATCATCTTTAGCCCACCTAGGTTCGAAACACCCGCAAGCAATGAAATATCAGTTCGTGAACTTCCCATGCAGGAGCACGATCAAATCCAGAATGCAGGCGAGCAACTGTGCACTGGGCAGGATCGGCTTTGCGGGCTCCGCAGGAATCAAACCTCGAAGGCTTTCCAGAACCTGCAGTCCATATACTTAGCAAGTTCACTCCACAACAGGCATCCACCTTGACAATGCATACACATGAGACAAGAAGCCTTCTCGGGAAGCAGCTTCTCCTCAATGCCCTGCTTCGGTTTCTTATTTTTGGATTCTGTCGTTGATGCTGAAGCAGCCTCCTGCTTCTTGCACTTGGCTTGTAGCTTGGCCAAGACCATCCTCAGACACAGCATTCAAGGTCAGTCAAACAACAAAGGGACTGCTCAAGTCAGCATACCAACAGCAACCGAAGACACTATTCACCGGAAAGGCTCTGCATCTCACCACTCAAAGCAGGGATGTGCATCGGCGGGGTCACCGCCGAGCTGGAACTCTCAACCTTGTCTAAATTCGCACACATCTGGGCATTTATTGCAATTGGCAAGACAAGCGAGATCCCAATGAAGAAACACAGGGAAGAAGCAGCTGACTCCGCATCGTCATGCCCAGCCAAAGTAGATAGAGCACTATCTTCATCTTCATCTGCTTGGCTCTCCTGCTCAACCTCCGAGTCTGAATCCTTAGATGCTGGTTCGCATGGATCAATAAATGGCTGCATACCATCATGTGTGGGCCAAATGCACACACCAAAAAGTCACAAGCCCAGACTCACCATCCTCAAGGAATCTAGCCAGCTCATCTTTCAATTCACGGAGCTGTGCCTGATGCGAACTCCGTGCCCGACGGGCGAGGTGCTTGAATTTGGTCACCTCGGCTACAACCAGCAACGAGCACATGTCCAGCAGCCCAAACCCCCGTCTAGTGTTTGAAACCAGCCACGAGCTTGCGGATTGCTTGGCCACTTCGACAGGCCCAATTCTGAACGGATGGCGCAGTTATGAGCACTCCTTTAGGCAGGATCTTGTTGTTATTCACAAAATGAAGGATCGCATCGGAATAGATGTAGGCGCTCTGCCGCCTGCGCGACTTCAGCTGTCCTCTCACAGCTGCTGCAATGACCTGCGGACATATATGTGCAAGCTTCACGAACCATACTGAGCGACAGGCCTTTAAGTGTCTGTGTGCTCTCATGCATGGACAGAATTTTATGTGCAGATGTGGCACTCGCGGGTTCGCGATGACATCCTTTCGCGACACCACCTTCCTCTTTGTGAGCAGCTTGCCTGTTGGGTCGATCACCAGATTCAAGCCTGCCTCAGATTGCAAACATTGAGCCACAAAAACATGCTTGCCGAGCCCGAAAGACTGCACATGCCCTAATTCTTCCAAGCTGCAGAAATCAGGGACGGTTCCCTGCTCAGCTCCTTCGACACACGTAAGGCCTCAGAGCCTGGTTCAAAATGAACCTTTTCAGGAATCAGAGCAGCCATGGCTGGACCGTGGATAGCAAAAGGCGAGCTCCAGTGCACCGAACGTTTGGAATGCCGGACCCTGGGAACCCTGCATGCTATTCTCTTTAAAGCCTGAAGAAATTATGTGGCATCTCACAGCAGGCCGACCGAAACAGCACATGCTGAGCTCGAACAAAAAACTTCAAGGACCCATGTTCCTCATGCTCATGTAAGCTTCAATGGGAACTTTCATGAGTGAAGCTGCGGACTGGCACCTGCACCATCATCTGGATCACGTGTGACCCTGCAGATCTTGGGCCTGTATTTCGCCGGCCGCGGCATCCTGCATGGAATGGAAGATACTCGGTACTGCAACAAAGGCTTGTATCTATAGGAAGACACACAGCCAGCCCAAAATCAATCCTGATTGCTTCCTGCATGACCCTGGCATTCTGTAGATGTGACCTGAATCTGTGCAATCTGTTCCGGCCTGGATTCACCATCGCCACTTCATGTCCTCTGCACACCGGTCCTGAACTGCAGCAACCATGCCCGCCCCATTACTCGACCGTTCGGGTGGCATGCAAAAAACCGGGTCTACTTGCAGCAGAAGCTCCATGCTGCACAGATAAACTTCAGGAACTCGTGCTCGAAGAGGAAGTCCTGAAACTTACATGTTTCTCCATTTCTTTGTTTCGCGGAAAAATGAATGAATCTCCATGGAAATGCAGACCGTCCGGTCCTGACCGGGAATCTCCAGGAGATCCGAGACGCACATGCTGCATTGCAAGTGCGATGGTGCAAACTCTGCCCCTGTATCTGGCTCTTGTATCTGCGTGTCAAAGTCATGCGGGGGCACACGACACAGCTTCGTGACTGCAAACGTTGCATGAAAGTTCGGACTTGCAGCCCCGAGCCCCACGTGTGTGCATGCGGTGCATGCAGCTCCTGCGATCTTGCAAACTCAACTGCCCACTTCGACATGTAGAATAAAAGAGTATATCAACTATTTCTTGTAGGGATCAGGAATTAGGGTTTTTCTCTCCCGCACTCGTTTCGAACAGGTCAGTCATGCCTACGCATCTATGAGCAATAAAATCGGTCCATGGCGGCATCATGGGCAAGATCCTATAACCAAACGTTTCGAAAAGCATGAATCGAGCCCATTCGGCGCAGCTCGGTCCTGCTACATCCCGTGCACAACGACCCATGCCCGTTTTAAGGGACACATCAAACGTACCTTAAAATAAGGTCATTTCAAAAGCGCAACGTCAGCTTTTATAAGGGTCAAGCAGTCCCCAAGGCGAGGCAGACACGCCAACTCCTACTCCAGGTCTCAGCCTGGAAGCGCTGGCGAGTCCAGAAGGGAGACGTGACTGGAGCGTTCTTGCAGAGCCGGCAATATCCTGATCAGCTGTTTTGCATTCCCTGCCCAGAGATATGCAGCGCCTTAGGATTGCCAGCTGGATCCATCACCCGGGTCAAGAAGGCCTGTTACGGCTTAGTTGATGCTCCTCTGGAGTGGTACAGATCTGTAGATGAGTTCTTATCAGAACTCGGCTTTCAGAGGCTCTGGTCAGACTCCTGTTGCTGGGTGCTCAGAGAGCACAACGAACTCCGCGGGATAATCAGTGTGCATGTGAACGATTTTCTTTTTGGAGGCAAGGCAGGAGATCCTTTGTGGGAGGCTAAGGTTCAGGCTATCAAGGAAAGGTTTAAGTGGGGGGACTGGGAACAAGACAAGTTCACACAGTGTGGGGTGATCGTTGAACAAACCAAGGAGGGATTTGAACTCTCCCAGCCTAACTACCTCGACAACCTTCACGAGATAGGAGTGAACGTTTCCCGCCGCAAGGATAAAGACCAGCCTACCTCCGACCGTGAGAAAAGCCAACTCCGTGCCCTCCTAGGAGGAATCAGTTGGCACGCTCAACAGGTCGCTCCTTACTTGGGCCGAAGTAGGACTTTTGTTATCCGAGGTTACCCGGAGCAGCGTGGACACGATCATCCGGGCCAACATGCTGCTGGCGACCGCCAAGGGCAAGCAGAGCTACAAGATGAAGATCCACAGCTTTGAGGAACACCAGGAACTGGTCCTAGTGGCTTGGGTGGACGCTGGAAATGCCAACCGTCCAGATGGAGGCTCTACTCAAGGAATCATCCTTGGCATGAGCACAAACGAGCTTCTACAAGGGCAAGTACAACCAGTCAGCCCCATCGGCTGGCACTCTCAAAAGATTGAGAGGACCTGCAGGTCCCCTGGGGCGGCGGAGGCGCAGGCCGCCGTCAATGGCGAGGACCACCTCTACGCGGCCCGACACGAGTGGAGTGAGATCTTGTATGGAGGCCTGAACCTTTCAGCTCCTGACGAGGCAGTGCGCAAGGTCAAGGGCTGCGTCGTGACCGACAGCAGGAACGTCTACGATAAACTGGAGACCGAAACCATGGTTATCAAAGGAGCTGAGAAGCGAACGAGCCTGGAACTCCTAGCCTTGAAGGAGTCCCAGATGAACACGGCAGTGAGCATCAGATGGGTGCACAGCGAGGCTCAGCTGGCCAACACGTTGACAAAAAGCGGGGGCTACCGTGAGTACGACCTGTTCCACAAGATGGGTTACCAGTGGCGCTTGGTGGAGGATGAGAAGATGATGTCAGCCCGGAGGAGGAAGGAACTTGGGTTGCTACCTCTCGAACAGAAGGGAAAGTCCGAAGTTTCATGTACCAGGGATGAAACTCTAGAGTGATCTGCAGCGATCCGTTAATGTTTTCCACAGAGCCAATTGCGCTCTGTTCTCTCTGGGGATTTCTAGCCCGGAGCCGGGGGGATGCAAGTTCCACCGAACTCTGGCCCTACATCCTCTGTCAGGAGATTCGCGCCGAAGCTTCGCAGAGGATCGAGACAAAGGCTGCCGTGCTTTAGCGAGGGTTGTAGCTCCGTTTTGTCCGAGCCATAGCTCCCTCGACTTACTGCATTAGCTGATCCGCAAGCCTGGCCATCGACAGCTACTTCGGACGCTGCCTCTTTCAAACCCTAAACACCTAAACCCTAAACCCTGTCAGATGTAAGTATTTGTGTGATGGTGGCGGTTTTCATGCGCAGTGGGTAGACCCCAGCAGGCTCTGCACCCCGAAACCTTAGACCCCAAACCCGACACCCTAACTTAGTGGCTGAGTTCATAAGCATTCAAAAAAGTGTACACTTGAAGTTCTATATGGGATCATATTATCCCAAAAAGCTTATAAAGTGTATAGTAGAAGCCCAAAAGTTGGAAACCCAATAGCCCCAATCCCTAAGAGTAATGTATAGGGAATCCCAGCACTATTTGTCCTTAATCCGGTTTCCAACTTTTTGGGGTTTACTATAGTAGTTCAGCTACTAAAAACTAAATCCCGAAGCTCAAACCCCAAGCCCGAAGCAGGTTCATCGACTTTGCTTGGGATGCTGTCGGGGCTACCTTGAGGACGAAAAAGAACCCTGAAAGGTTTAGGCCCTAAACCCCCTTTAAGAGTTCTTATAAGGGTTAGTATGGGTTCTATAGGGTAGGGTTTATGGGTTCTACAGGGTTTAGGGTTTAGGGGTTAAGGACGAAAAAGAACCCTAATGGGGGTTTTGGGGGTCATATACCATATAGGGACTTCATAGTAGAAGGGTAACCGGGCCGCTACTTTTAACTTTAAGGGTCATTTCGTCCTTAAGGTAGCAAGAGCGCCCTAACCCCTAAACCCTAAACGTCCCTGAGCCGGAGGACCAGCTTCTCTGCCTTGATGAAGGACGACCATATCCTGGGATGGCTAGGTTGGCCACTGCCCCTCACCTGTTATATCAAGGGCCACCTTAACCCCAAAGAAAATACCCTTTTTAAGGACCTATATAAGGAAATCATAATAAGGAATCCTATAAAGGTAGGTTCTTTGGGGTCCAGGGCTATATGTTGCATATGTTGTAACGAAATGTAAAATCTACCTAGCTGTTAAACTGTTACAGCGTGCCCAATAGTCGGGCATATAATGTTTGTTGAATGTTTTCGCCACGGGTGTGCGGTTTATACGCACCTCGCTTCGCGAAATATGTCCTTACGTACCTGCTCAGATACCATGTCGTCTGTTTACGAAGTCCCCGATCCGCAAACAACTGAGAATCTTCCAAAGCAAAATTCCTGAGCCTGCAACTCCTGCCCCCGCCCCTGAAGCCTTACTTTAAAGGATCAAGGGACTTAGTCACTAGTAACTAAGGATCTACATAGTTTAATTGGGGCTATAAGCTATAAACATATCATTAAAAACTTAAAAACCTAGTATAAACATATCATTAAAAACTTAAAAACCTAGAATTACCTTATCTATAGCCGCAGTGTCCAGGCCCCGCGATCCTTCAAGTCATCCCGCGCCTTAAACCCTCAAGCAACGGCGCCCGAAGATAAGTCCGCAACACTTTTCAATGTTTTTCAACACAGGCTTACTATTGACAAGCATCCCACAACGTCTAAAGTTCCTCAAACGCTGTAAGAAGGACGACTATATCCCAGGGAGGCTGAAGAGGTCAGTGCAGACGTACATCCACACCACAAGCGGAAACGGCGCAAGTGCATGGATAGTCTGATCAGCATATGGCTTGCCATCTTAAGCACTAATCTTCAATCAACAGCATCAGCAAACGCACGCTTTGCACTTCTGAAAGGAATAATCTCAAAACAACACACCTTCAAACGTTGCAAGCATGTCCTGTTTGAAAGAACAGCTCACGACAAGAGCTGCAAAGAAACTCTGAAAGGATGTCGAGCGACTCAAGTATCCTTTAACCCATACGGTTGATGATATAAATCCGTAGCATTACCTTAAGGCCCTAAGAAGGGTTTAGGGTTGAGGGTTTAGGGGTTTAGGGCAGTTTAGGGTTTGATATTAAATCTTGCATTACCTTAAGGACCCTAAACTATGGGAAATATGGTATATTCCTTAATCAGGATTTATATCCCTAAACCCTAAACCCTAAAACCCTATTATTATGGGTCAGGGTAGATCCCTTATTATGGGTAATGCAGGAATTTATATCATCAACGGTATGGATCTCCACTCGGTCACTGAATGCCACGGAACATCCCTTGATGAAGCCCTAGGGGTTTAGGTTCGCCAGGGTTTTGGGTTTAGGGTTTAGGGTTTGTTCTCCCGAGAAACTCGTGATGCTTGGCGGCCACTTGCGCGTTGCTATCGCTTCCGTGCACCTTTGTGGCTGCACCAACCCTACAACTAGCCTTTCCTCCCAAACTCAGGCTCCGTAACCGGCGAAACCTTGCCATCCGAAGCTCTCAGGAAGGGTATAATTAGCCCGTTACAAAGCTCAGTCCGAGAGCACGAACAGCTAAGAGTACGGTACCCTCATGCGAAGCAGTTTAGAGTTTAGGGCTTGGGCTCGCCATGGAAAGGCCAAAGCGCGTCTGCGATAACATACACACGACCGAGAAAATTTTCACATGCAGGCGCTCAATGTTGCCTCCTCAGGTGCTTAGTTGGGTGACAGATGGCTACATCAGGTACCGTATATGTTACTTACAAACCCTTTGAAAGGTCGTTTGACTTTTAAAGAAAGGGAGCACAAGCCAACAACAAACGAAATGCACACGTGGAAAGCTTGAAGTTGGTCTACTCGACGCAAGCATTGATGTTGAAGCAGTGTGAACCCAACTTAATCATAATGCTCGCCTGAGGATAGAAAAACGTGAGGGCATTCGTTCATGGTTGGTCTCATGTGTTTCCCTTATGAGGCCTTTCAAAAAGAGCATT